CGTCCGTTTCTGAGAAAACCGAGCTCACCAGGTGTCGTTGTGGACTGTGGGAAAATGTCGCTGGCATCTGGATCTCCCACCTGCATGTCTTTGTTACGCAGTGGATGTAAGTGTGACAGGAAGGGTCAGGGACAATCAGAGGTCGGAAAACAAAAACAGAAGCGTACCCTATGACACCAGGCTGGAAGCTGTAGCAAATAAAATGTCTTCTAGATAAGCGAAGGAGGTTTGAGGCTATTTTATCTTTTGGGATTTGAAACTTTGAGGCTTTTAAGCTTTAGATAAAAACACAAAAATAATTACGATAGACTGCCTTTACTATAAATCTCCGCATAGTTAAAAGTCAAACTGCCGAGCACGGCTTTTCCAGTCACATTGATGAAGAATGCTGGCTGCTTCTTTCCTCCATTCCCTCCTTTTGACCTGAAATGGTCCCCCTAATTCAAGGGGCTGCATTTCCTAGAAAGAGTGTTATATCAGAGGTCCCCACTGTGGGTTTTGGCAGCGAGCGTGCAAGCGATCGCAGAGTCGGCCTGCACTCTGTTCCTCTCCTTTTCTCCTTCTCGTCTCTGACACACAAAGGACGCGTACTGAAAGACTCCTATTATTAGCCTGCTGGATAAACACAGTCTGCATGAGCAAACAATCATCTGGCTCGCTTAAATCGAATGTACACACCAACACACACGCACACACTCACCATCAGCAGGAAACATGCGTGTATATATTGTATACATACACTAACGGTAGAAAAAAAAAGTTTATATGGTGAAACAGCATCAGTTAACATCATAGCACACACAAACACTGAGATGCTTACACAGCACACACACACACACACACACACACATGGTTTTAATGTAAATGAGCAAACGCTACAAAGACGGAAAGGGTCTTTCCTTAGACCTGAACATATCTGGGGGAGTCCGGGTACCCAAATAAGACCTTCAACAGCAAAAGCAGATGCAGTGAACATTTGTGCCAAAAACAACAACTAGTTCCCAGATAATACGCTGGTACTACTCAGGAAGGCAACCAAAAGGACTGTAAATAATGTACGTCTATACAGGCTTCCGCTCAAGGCTGTCTTTGTCTCCAGAGTTCAATGACCTTGCAGTTGTGTGTGTTTATTTGCTGTGTTATGAGGCTGTTTCGAGCATTTTTATTGGTCAGAGACTAAAGACTTAATCTGACGGGTGTGTAGCACCGCTGTTAATCAGCCGGGGTCTTACACTTT